TTAACAACTCCGATAAATTCAAGATGGCGGATGCATTTGAATCTCAATGAGAACGGAGCCAAATTTCGCAGATGCGCGGGTCGTGACGTAGCCCCTTTAACAGGAAAGGGGTGGCATGGTTAATCCCCTTGAAAAACAAAATAGTGACTCAGGGTTGTCATTAAGGGCCATAACCTGTAACACCTGTTTACGGCTAAGTATGTATGCTTGATTTTCCTTCGATGCTACAGATGACTCCAAACTTGATGAAAACCCTAAGCGACAATGATGGGCCAAATTATGATCCGCACCACTCAATCCTGTCAGGGGGCTTCTATCTGTGTCGAAGTCAGTTTCTTCAACACACAAATGTCAAGCACTTACTGCTTTTTGAACCTTCTCTTCAAAACTGAAACTGGTAGTTTGACAGGCAGCATCCATAGTGAAAGGTTCAGTAACAGCTTGTTAAGTAAATGTTGCCATTTGGGTGCCTGAAACAGCTGTCTACTTGTTCTTTCACCTTGTTTCCTTCCCTAACCAGTTCTTCACTACACTTTCCACCTCAGGCATGCTAGAACTGTCAGGCCATTAATTGCAACCTGTATTAGAATATTAAGTAGTTCAGACTTGACCTCAGCCTGCTCTTGATAAGCTTCATAGTGCAGCACCTCTTTCTGGCCATGCAATACTTAAAGGGATGACAACAGCAATCACAGCTAACTTAAGAACTTCTAAATAACCTCGAAAACAACTGTTATTGAGCAGTTTGTTGATGAATCACTCAGTGGAGGTTATCTGACCTGCTTTTTCCTTTTTTAATTTTAGGAGTTGTGTCTTCCAACACATATTTGATCATAAGCTTCAAGGTTATCCACCGTGTGTTAGCTTTTTTCCTATATTCCTGAAGTCTTTGTCCTTACAGTCATAAGTAGTCGGCAAGGGTTGCAATGTGCCTGTTGCTGTATGCCAAAACCAGGCTTGCTCTCATTTGAAACATTACACAGGTAAAAGATGGAGAATGTGGGTAACATTTGCTTGCTTTCAGCCAAATCATATCTGTGTTCTGAACTTATGGCCCGATAGTCGTTCTGACTGGTCATACAGCTTTCTTGGGAATGTCCAGTCAAAAAGACATTGATGTCAGGTTCCACCTTTCTCCAAGGGACTTTGTCTTCTAGGATCTTTGAAAGTCTCGATTTAGCCATCTCTATGCTGGAGTTAATTTGGGGGAAAGTTGACACATCTGCTCTGCAATTTGACAGCTTTATTAAAGTGTCTCCCAGAATGTAGAAAGTATCCACAAGAAGTTGACAATTCTGGCCTGGAGTGTGACAGCTCCCTACTTTGTACTCCTTAGGAGGCATTTGTCGATGAAAATGTACCATATAACATGCTATAATTAGGTTTAGTGTATAGAATATGGTAATTAAAGTAGTTGAACAAGTCTTTTTATCATAATTATTTTTTTTTTGAAATTTCCACGGCTCCATAGAAGAGCACAATAATGTATTAGCAACATCATCAGCACTTAAACATTTTTTTTTGTTTTATTATGTGCATAACTGGATGTTATTGCTCCATGGCACTATTCCCAAGAGGAAACTGTACCTATGATTCTCAAGCCTTCCTCCCGTGGTAACCAGCAATGAAGGTGAAGATCCTTGTGCTGATCTGGTTGTCTACTTTGAAGGGTCTATTGATCAGGTTGCCTCTGAAAGTACAGTCACACTGCAATTGTACCTCGGCTCATGCAGAACTCCCCTTGTGCGTAAGCATCAAGTTGAACCACCCACAGCTGTTAGTCCTCAGTTCTTTGACAAAGAGAATTTGTTGAATGATGATGTAGGTAGTGGTGGAGAAAAAGTCAGTAAAGAATGTCATGCAACCAGTAAGCTGAAGGGCTGTTGAGGAGTTCTTGGGAGCTTACGAGTCGAAGGATGTTTTTTAACTCTGTGAAGTGGGGGATCAGTTTATGCAAATTAGGGTTGGTCAATCAGATCAGTATTTTGCATCATTAGGTTGTGCACATTTTAAGGTGTTCTGCTTTTTCAGTTTGCAGTATTTTCAACAAGTAACATCAAACATCATTGGATGGAGGGTACAGAAACTCTGAATCATTTTGTGTACAATATATGTTGGAGCAAAATGTATGCAACTTTATGATTTGAAATCTTTTATTTATGATGATTTCCTGAGAATATTTGATTTTGTAGTAACCACTTAATAATCATATTAACTGTTTGTAACAAGAACTCTGAGCAGTAAACTTTGAACTTTGATGATTAATGCCATAGCTTTGAACAGAAGTTGTCTTGTATTCATTGCCATCTTTGGTGCAACTGTATATTCTGAGATTCACAGACAGAAGCTTGTTTGAGCTCAAAAGCAGCAATTGTTTTAATATTACTCCATTCTGTGTCCTTCAGTAGGTTTCCAGCAAATTCAAATGTTTAGATTTGCAAAGAGTAATTCTTCTCCTGGTGATAGGTAAACTCTTTGTTTTATTAGCTACAGTATTTGTCTACTCACTGTTGTCAAAAATGACAATCAAACCTAAGCAAAATAGCAATCATTTCCTATGATGAATAAAGACAAGTATGAAGTATAGCTAAAGCGTGTGAAGAAATATACCATAATTACCAGTGCTCTATGTTGCACTATTTTGGTTTCTCAATTTACATTCTTACAGTTACACTGGCCTGCGAATTGTTCTGTAAAAGGGCCAGAATAGATGATTTCAGGGTGTCAACATCTTGAGCCAGCTGGCTTGTGTCCTTGTTAGTACCTCCAGTTGAAGTTGATTGGACATTGCTTTCTGATTGTGCTTTGGGAACAGCTTTTTTGAGGAGGCAGTGTTGTGCCTGAAGAAAGGGAAAAAATTTCCAATGACCTCAGCCATCATAGCCTGAATGGCCTGCAGTTATACGAACTCTTCTTCGACTAAGGCTTTAACAGAGTAGCCAGCCAGACTATTAGTCTGGCACCACCCTTTGGTTTCCTCATCCATAACTGAAAACTGAGTAACTGAAAAATCGAGCAAGCTAGTGGTGCATGTGAGGTGAAACCGAGACTGATTGAATTTCAAGGCTGCGGGTTATAACATATTGAGCAATGAAAAGAAGTGCATCACTAGACTGTCAGTTATACCCAAATAAATCTAGTTGTTTTTATCTCACATGTAGATCATAGTGTCATCAGCATATAGGTAAACTTTCACACTTGATGGTATATCGCTAGT